ACCCAAAAAACCGGTCGTGCTTTGAAGAAACCGACGACGACCCCGTTACCTGTCGTCGACCCCGTTACCTGCCGTCGACCACCTCCTTCAACTCCGGTATGTATATAAATATATATGTATGTATGTTTATATTCTGTATGTATATATGTGTATGTATGTATGTATATAAATATATATATATATATATATAGGGAAAATTGCACCAAAATGTAACCAACTTTAACCTGATTCCAATTTTGGGGAACCAACTTTCAAAATCGTCATTTTGGGAACCAACTTGCACCTGATTCCTATTTAGGGGAACCAACTTTCAAAATCGTCATTTTGGGGAACCAACTTGCACCTGATTCCTATTATAGGGAACCAACTTGTAAAATAATTATAAAAAATAACTAAAATTCGTTTTTTTTCCAAAAATTAATGCAATAAAATCTATTTTTCATTTCAAATCTCGTTTTTTTTAATTCAATTATCTTTCACACCATCATGGACAACCCAAAATCAAATAACAACATAAAAGCAAGGAAAGACATGAAGAATACTACAATCGACCAAAGTTGCATGTGAGGGAGGAACGAAATTAAATCTTTAAACCAAAAGATTCCTACACATTGAACAAAGAGCATGTGGGAAAGGTTTGTGAATGGTTGAAGAAGTTTAAATTCCCAAACGGCTATGCTTCTAACATAGGTGCATTAGTGAATGTCGAAGATGGTAGTTCTTATGGATTCAAAAGTCATGATTGGCATGTGTTCATGCAAAGACTGCTCCCTCTTTCTACAAAAGGGATGGTACCGACTCCGATATGGGATGATATCACTGAGTTGTGCACATTCTTTCGTGCAATATGCTCGAAGGTGCTACACATTAACGACTTGCTTCATTGCAGACAAGTATAGTGGAAACTATCTGCAAGTTGGAAAGAGTTTTCCTATCGGGATTCTTTGATTCCATGGAACACCTTGTGGTACATTTGGCACGTGAAGCAATAGTTGGAGGTCCGGTTCAATATCGATGGATGTATCTCTATGAGAGACGTTTAGGGTCGTTAAAAAGGACAGTGAGAAACAGAGCAAGGGTAGAAGGGATAATTGTAGAAGCATATTTGGTTAATGAACTATCTACCTACTGCTCATTGTATTTTGGAACCACTTTGGAGACACCCGAGGTTATTTGTAAACGGTTACAAGTTCCACACTCTATCTCATGGTAGAAATCGCACCATACATAATAACGGAGTATGCGTGAGAGGATCTTGATACTCAAATTACGAGGCCGACTACTATGGATTGTTGGATGAAGTCCTCGATAGAGAATATCATGGGTATGAACTCGGCCGCTTTGTTGTCCCAATATTCAGATGCACATGGTTTGATATAGTTAACAGCGTCCGAGTTGACCCAAAACATAATCTCATGGACGTCAAACATAGATCAAGACATTGTTCAGACGACCCGTTCATCCTAGCATCACAAACTGAACAAGTCTATTATATATCATATCCATCGAATTCATTAAAAGATTGGTGGTCTATGGTGAAGACAAAGCCAAGAGGGGTCTATGACTTAGCATCGAGTACCCCTGAAGTACTGTCGGATGAAAATATGAACGAGGAACAGTTTTTCCAGGAAAATGATAGAATAACCCAACATGGGGGAAATGAAGATGTTCAAGAACATATCCATCTTGTCATAGAAGAAGACGACATCGAAGTTGCCAATGATCCCACGACAACTGGCATGTTGATAAGAGTAGTGACGAAGAAGGGGATTTCCATGACTCGGATAGTAAGTCTGAGGACGAAGAACTTGACTTGTCTGATCACTCCTCAAATGATTAAATTTTTATGTTAATTTTAGTCTTAGTAAACTTTGTCTAGTTGTTTTAAATCTTTATTATTTTTCATTTTTAAATCTTAGTAAACCATTGTTCGACATTTGTTATGTGTGGAATCTTTATTGTATACTTGAATTATTGTTGTATGTTTTCTAAGGTTACTTTGTAGAAAAATCGGCAATGTCGCGTACTCGGATTACCAGTTGAGGTAGTGGCAGTACACCTAGCCGCAGTACGGGTAGAGTCTCTAGTAGTGCTTCGGCACACCCAGAGGTAATAGAGTCTTGTCGTGGTAGCATTGTTCTGCAGCCGCTTCCACAACAGCGGACAGTTATTGGCATCCGTGGCAAAGAGTAAATACATTTATATCTTTTAATTGATAAAAATAATTGTGTATTGATATTAATTCAATTTATTTATTTATATAGTTTTAATGACACCAGAGTGATCCGGAGGATCACCAAGATCAACCGAGAGCTGCGTGACAACCCATGGATCACTTGGGAAAAAATCCCAAGGGACGTGAGACGACGAATGTGGGAACGGTTCTAGGTTCGTGGTACATATTCACTTTGTTATATTTTTGCTATTTTTTTAAACCAAAGAATCGACTAAACTTTTACGTACAGGGCTACTACACTTGAGATTCGGATTTGGACTCCAGAACCTAAAGACATGGGAGAGAAAGTCGGGCAAACCATATAGTGACAACTTGAGTGTCTCGAGGAAGAAAGCCGAGGAAAAAGCAAAGAGGATTGGGTATCCTCAATACGATGAAACTGACCCACACTGGGATATGAGTGTGTTGAAGAGCTTCCCCCCCCCCCCCCCCTCCCCCAGCTGGATATCTTCAGATGTATGGAGCTAGGTGGTCGATTGTTGGAACAATGACAATTGGAGGAATGTTTCCGTTGTGGCGCATGGGAACCGTGATAGACAAGTTGCGCTACACACCGGTGGATCAATCCTATTTTCGGAGCATTATGCTCGTCTGGTAGAACCTAAGACCCATTACTTTAGTAGCTTGATTTTTAACATATTATTATTAACACATGTTCGTATTATTTGACATTTGTAGACACAAGCAAAAGTCGTCGTGCCACCCACCGTTGTGGAATTGTTCGATTATACGCATAAGAATAGGTCGATTGGAGATGGCGCATCTACAGATTTTGGGGGGTACGCGACCTCTAAGTGTATCCAAGTCATGGTAAGTATATCTATATATTTTAATGTTTATAATTGGATACATAACTATGTATCTAGGTTGGGCAAATATTCGACTCGTCTAAATTAAAATCTAGTTTGAGTTGCCATTTGTTGGGCAAACATTCGGATTATTTAAGTTAGAAATTTCATATGTATCAATATTTAGTTTGGGTTGCCATTTGTTGGACAAATGTTAGGAATGTTTTGGCTAAACTTTTCGTATGTAACACTATTGTTTTATCTGGAAACGTCCAATTTACAGTCGTCATGCTGTCAAATTGACTTGTAATCTTGTTTATACCATATATAGGATGACTATTCAACAGGTTTCACCTAAAGATATGACAATGATCCCTCCACCTACCCCTTAGTTGATAAAGAGTTGTGGGAGCAAGCGGTTGGGGGAAGCAAGAAAGGCCGTCTATTTGGGTTTAGGTACAACCAGGATCACAATTGGATCTTGACTGGAACTACACACAAGGTGGTCCATCGTCTTCAGAGAGTCGGGTAAGTGCCTCTTTTCCTTTGATGATGTTTATCGATTTAGTTTATAATTCATATTAAATATTATAATGTTTTATTTAACTTATAGGAAATTGAAGCCTTAAGAACCAAACTTAGAGATTTACAGGAAGAAAATCGACGTCGACGGATGGTGGAGGAGGAGCGACGGCGAGCGGAGGGGGAGCAACGGCCAGAGAAGGAGGAGTGACAGGATAAACAACTTCAAGATATGGTTGTTTTTGTTAGACAACTAAGTCAATCTCAACATTTCCCCTGCCAACGAATCGAATATCGTCTGTTTGTTTGGAACAATTTAGTTTTTGTTTGTAACAATTGTATGCTACTTTAAATTGGTTGGGATGATTGTTGTTTAGTTTAATATATGATATTTAGTTGCATTTCATCTTTTTAGTTTTTTTTATTTTTAATATTTTACAGATTTACAGGTTTAGAATACAGGTTTTAAATATTTATTGTAAAAATATTCTAAAATTAATAATTTTATATATTTCCGACGGATTACCAGCAGATATAAGTAGAATATTTAAAGAATAAAAAATAATTATTTTAAAATTAAAATACATTTTTGACGGATTTCCGGCGGAAATATCCGCCGTAATATTTAAAGAATAAATAATTTTTTTAATTATTTTTTTATCCATTTTTCCGGCGGATAAAGTTACCGGCAGATTTCCGGCGGATATATCTGCCGGTAATTTAATCCAATTTTTTTTTAAAAAACTTAAATATTTTCTTAATTTAATCAAGATTTTTTAAATAAACTGGTGAAAATTTTTCGGCAGCCAAAATCCAGCAGGAAATTAATCACCGGCCCCAACATTTCCAGCAGCTGGATTTCCGCCGGATATAGCCGCCGGAAATGTTTCCCTGTTTGGTAGTGTTAGCTTAAGGTTTGAAACCAATTTACCTTTTTAACCTTATACGCCTCCTTTCTTTAACCAAAAACTCTTTCATATGTCTCCTTCCTCAAGCAACCAGTTCATCAAGAGACCTTCGATCATTCCTTTGAAATCAAACCAGTTCCAGAAATCGAACCAGATTTCTTGATGTGATTTCTTCTCCACCAACAGAAATCGATCAAACCTTCACCTACAGAAATCAAATTAAACCTTCGATTGAAACCTTCAGCTACAGAAATCGAAAACAAACCTTCGATCGAAACCTTCAACCAGTTCCTACAGAAATCGAATAGGGTTTAGAGTTCTTCCTTCAGTATTACTTTTTGAAAAGGGTTTAGGGTTCTTCCTTGTGTAAGTGACCTTCGAACTCAGTTCCTCCTTCCTCATGTCTTTTTTGGTCATTTTCCATGTATAAGCAAAATTTGCAAAATACTAATCAGTTTATTACGTTTTGATACCACTATAAGTTAATCTAAACACTTTTTATAGAACTTCGGTTTGACACCACATAAGCTGATAAACACTTTTACCAAAAAGTTAAATTGTTTTAAATAAACAATCTCAAACACCTTGTATATCTAAACCACTTTTTACAATTCGGCATATGCAAATACATACTTCAAATAATCGCCTTTACACAAATTTCTTTTTCCACCAAACGTATCAAAAAGTAGCTAAGATTAATTAAATGTGGAAAGCATTTCAAACAAAGATTTGTCATTCAAAAGCTTCCGTTCCCGATTATCCATAGCCAATCCAAAGCCACACCCGCGAATATTCCACCCAGAAGAAACAACACCAACAAGTTCCCTAAAGCGTTTGCTTCTGGACCCTGAAATGATCATCAAAAAAGCATTTATTAATGGTATAGAGTTTATTCGCTAGGCCATATATGGTCGTTTGTTTGTGGCTTAATAATTAAGTCATCGGCCCATCTGACTTAATTATGACAGCCTTCCCACCAGTGCTTAATACATTAAGCCATGCTCTTTCCAACTATATAGACAACTTAATGAATACAACACTCCAGAGAAATAAATATACAGAAATCCGACTCACCGTGCAACCCTTAGGAGCTACAGTCATGACACATACAGTGAGATAACCATTTGTCAATCCGAGCAACGATATAAGCATGATCATCCAACCCTCATCACCGTATTTTGCAGTGAAGTAGAAAGCCGGGATGAACAAGAACCGTGACAATATAGCAATCATTAGCCCTTTCCGCGATTCCATCTTTAGAAATTCGACTAGAGGAATGTATCTTGATATCAGATCCCAGATATTGTACATTGCAATTAGAACAAGAGGGTACCTACAGAAAAACACCACCAATCGATCGCTAACCAAATTTCTAGAAATACATTTTAGATCGGATATAGGCAAAATTACCATGATCCCAGATGGTGTTTTCCTGTATTTTCATATAAGAATCCCGGGAAAATGGAAAGAGTAAGGACATAGATCAAGAACAGGTCCAACGCGTAATCAATTTTCTTGAACAAGACTTGTTTGTTGCTCAATCGGTCGGGAATCTTAAAGTCTTTATCAGCCTGCAAAAATACCAGAAATTAAAAGATGTGTTCTTGACATTTTTGGATGATTCCGAACTTCAAAAACTCTTATGATCTCCAAGGAAAAAAGGGATATTTTTACTGGTTCAGTTTGGATGCCAGCAGCAGCAAGATCTGATGCAACAGTTTTCGAACCTTCTCGTGCGGCGGTCATGCGATAATACTTCACGATCGGTAATTTACCGAACACAAATGAGTAAAGAAAAATGCAAAGAAACTCGAAGAATGTTGAGATTGCCAAGAACAACACTGCATAGAAAAGAATCAAGAATCAAGATTGATAATTGGGGTTTTTTCTTGAATCATAGAAAGATTATGACACATACTGGTCCCTTTTCTTAGACCATTGGGAGATTTGTCAAATGCGGCTTTCGTGATAAGCCTTAAGCCGGAGGTTAGAGCGCCCGAGGCTGCCAAACCAGCAAAGAAAGACTGCAAGATCCAAAAGGACCAAGAAACTTGTAATCAAAACCATCATGAATTCAAATAACTTTGGATGTGTTTCCCCAAGAAAAATGCTCACTTGGATGAATTCTGGCTTCATGAAGGCCAAATCTCCAACCATTCCACCTTGAACATGGGCATCAGCTACTCCAAATCCGGCCACAAAAACACATATGCCGATATAACTTCCGATTCCACCCTTCCCTGATGTGGCTAAATCTATCTGTGCACGAGTTTAGGATGTCGAATTTTGAATAGAAGGGTACCAAAAATTGGACTTACCACAATGAGGGCTAGAGTACATAAGAAGAACAAGATGTATCCTGCAATATTACGTTTTCTAGTATCGATTTTGGACTCATTATATGCAAGAATCGCCATCGTTCCTATAGCAAACGGTTGGTAGACAAGGGTAAGTACCCTTGATGGATGGTAATCCTATGCAATAAGAACAAAAAGAATATTACCCATCTATCCCAATACACAAACACGAAAAATGCAGAAAAAAGTAGGCAAATTGAATGATTCTTTAAGCCCCTTTAGTTAATACTTACAGGAAATAACTTATAGTAGTAATCTCCAATGGTTAACATACTGTTCCATGAGACCAAAGATCCAAATCCAAGGATCCAACATACCACAATTGCTTTAGATCTCCCCTGAAAATCCAAATATCATCAAAACTTGAATTATTTAGAGATCAAACTCCAAAATTCTTGGACAAACCTCAAGTTTCTTTGAATCTTCATTTGGAGCAGTAATATCCATGGATGCCACACTGAGAAAAACACAAGTTTCAGTGGGTGGAACATAATCTTTAAAGAAAAAGATAATCAACGATTATGTTATTCTGAAAACCCACATGGAATTTCTAAGATTCTGGTTTTAGGGTTTAATCATCCCTCCTTTTTGTAATTAAAAGAAACAAATAAAATGGGAACAAGAATAACAAGTTACCAAGAGTGGGGGATGGAATCGAGTGAATTTGACTCTGAAAGTTGAAACTTTACAAGATTGGGAAGATACCCTTTTACTTTCTGGTCTTAAATATATAAAGAAATAGGGGGTGTGGGAGCGCGAAGAAAATGGAATCCGTGGATGGTGAGGGGTAGGAAGCTGTAGAGATCTCCAAAATTATTCAAGTGGAAATTTGCCATAAAAAGATTCTAATTCAAAGGTATTGAATACAAAGGGGTTTTTCTAAAGAGGTGGGACCATGGGTGATAATGGATTGGGTTGAATGTCTTGAATTCATAGTTGTGTTTTGGAAAATATTAATACAATCCAACTCAAATTGCACTCATAATTAATGTTTGATGCATTATATATATATATATATATATATATAATATATATATATTATTTTCTCTAGTTTACTCATTAACTTTTTTTTCATTATCAACCTTTTGATACGTTTTATCCATATTTATTAAATCTTAAGTATATTACGTTCAATTAATTTTCTCAATTTATATATATATTCACAATTATTGAACATATATACAAAAAAGTCATACATAAATGAAAAATATATTGAATATACATACATATATATATATATATATATATATATTAAGAGGATACGTGATGGTGCAATTGTCTAATATACATATAATAGTTACTCAACAATCATATTAAATCCAAGAAATAAAAAAATATCGGGTTCATCGGGTTAGGTTGGCTTCAAATAGAAGTAACTCAATATCAAACAAATACATATGGTTTAATGATTTTATAACTCGATTAGATATCAAATTGCTTCATGCTAAGTTATTTTATGTTAGATTGGGTTAGATTGGTCGTATTGATGATGGTTGGATTTTTGAGTACCCCTAAATCAAATAGTTATTGCAGTTTTCTTTGTGGAATTTGATATCTTAAAAACAATTTCTTAAAAACTCGATTTAACGAAGAGAAATTTTTATTTTCATCAATGAAATAAAAGAAAATTGTTATTTTATATAAATCTTTGAGAAAAAACGAATTTGGATGATAAGGTTAAATAATATTTTAATTAATGATATAGTTAATATTAAAAAAATTAAAATAGAAAATCTATCAAATTGAAGATAATTTTTGAGGGATCCTTGGAGATCCTTTCATATTTTATTAAACCAGAGTTTATTAAAGAGTTCTTTAACTATGATAAATACTTTATATTAAAAAATAATCAATTTTTTTTTTAAATTACGTATTAATCAAATTAAATAGACGGTTGAGATTAAGTTGTATTTGTTGTATAAATGTAAAGGACTACATAATAACTCAACTCTCTCTCTCTCTCTCTCTCTCTCTCACTTTATATATATAAACTATAAGTTGATTCTTTATACGTATTACTGTATTAATTATAATAAATTTTTAGTTATATATTAATTTTAATTTTAATTCTATATATTGATTGTCATGATTTTTTATTTTACGTATTGAT